TCTAGAATATATGAGGGAGAATTTCATTAAAAGACCCCCAATGCGATATATTTTTAAGTGAGACCAAACATTTTTTAAAAGGACAAATAGGCAAAAATATCAAAAAAAATCATTTACCAAGAGTATCTAGTAACCTAAAATTCTAATGGTTTAATCACATATGCATTGAAAAAATAACTTTTTTAATCATTCGTTCACTTTTTTTCACTTTAAATTACCGTATGCATCTGACTGATGATTTATTGAGTTTTTTTTTGCCCCTTTGCCTTTCTAAACACTATGTGCAAGATTTTGAGATTGAAGTAAAATTAATATTGATCACGGAAAGATCATTTTACCCTTGCATTACTTGCTCCGGCTGGTAATTTTACAGGATTTGTTCATTCTCTCACATGTCAAGTTACCTGTTATATGAATTAAATTAGTTGTTAAATGAGTAATTACTTGTTAAATGAACTATGTTACTTTCTTAACATCTAACTTGTGATAAGTCTACTACTTAAAGTTACATGTTAAATAATGTTTGATTTGTTAGATGCTTAGTATTACTTGTTAATTCTACGTCAATGTTTATTAAGCCCGTTATATTATTTGTTAAACATCTAACTTGTAATAAATTAATCACTTGTCAAGTTAATTTTTAAATAATTTAATTGCTTTGTTAGACGTGTAATTTTATTTGTTTATCCCCTGTCCTTAGTTGTTAAATCAATCATGCATCTTGTTTAATTTAATTGAAGAAAAATAATTTGATTATTTTGCTTTACAATTTAATTTCAATTCAAACCCAAAATTTTAGATTGTTTTGGGCTTAATCTGTAAAAAAGTCACATCAGTGATCTTTTTGGAAAATTTCTCCCCCTATTAATATCATTAATATGAACATGCTTCATAAATCAGTTCCCTCTCAACCACTTGAAAAAAAAAATGGCTACGCTCACAAAATATTGTTCACAGAGCCATTTAAGACAATATTTAGTAAAATAAAAAATATTTTTCATAACAAAAATGAGAAATATATATAGAGAAAAAGTATGATGGATGTAATTTTTAGTTCTTTATAAAAAAAATATTTTTCTAAAACGATATGGCTTTGTGAGGCGTGAACAGCATTGTCCTGCTTCTCCGGTTGCGTGTCATCCACAAGATTCTTCTTGGCTTTTATATTCGTTAAAAAAAAAAAAAAATCCCCGGCTTTTATAAATATTTTAAGGATAAAATTGGTTTTTCAACCCCGGCCCCCCTTTGTTACTTCTACTTGCCCCAACCTTTTCTATCCTTTTTAAAATGTTTGTTGATTACTCCTTTATTCAATAGGCGATCGATTTTGATTCATGGTCCTTTTCTTATTAAATTAAAATAAATCATATACCTGTGCGAAATAATTAAAGACTACATCATTAATTACATAAAAAAAACTTCTTAAGATATTATCAAAATTAGAATAGAATATTATCCAATTCTACAAAACTATTTTTAAAAATTTATTTAAATAAATATTTTGAATCTAATTATTTTCAAAACCGTTCTAATTTTATGCTTATAAAAACAAAAAAAACAGAAACATATTAAAGCTTTTTCATTTCATTTTTTTTTGTTTTCAAACTACATTACATTTGATTATTAAAAACCCAATGATTATCATATGTCATTAGGGATAAAAATAAGTCAGGCTGAGTTAAGTTTTAGCCAGGCCTGAGCTTGTATGGTAAATCAAATGCTTGAGCCTAACTTGAAATCTATATAAAGCTTTTTTCATAGTTCAAGTCTGAGCGTACTTAAAATTTAATTTGACTTGAAAGTTTATTTAAAGGCTGCTAAAAAATAAGTCTTTTAAATAAACTCATATTTTAATTTTAAACATTTTAAATATACTTTAGGATCATTATAATAAGCAATACATAATCTAATTTATTAATTATAATATCTAATTATTGAAAATTAACAACATTAAAATTGTGTGTGTGGGGGGGGGGGTAGGTCATTCTGTTGAAAAAAATAAATTTGACCTATTTAATTAAATAAGTCTAATTAAAAAATTGAATCTAATCTAAACTTATTTAATAAATAGGTTAAGCTAAATTTAAAATAGGCTAGGTAGGGGTCTAATTTATTCCCACTCCTATATATCATTACTATTAATTGCTAGTAATTATCATTATTGATCAATTTTTTAATTTTAAAATTATTTTAAATTAATACAACTAAATATATTTTATTTTTATTTTGTTTTAAAAAATAATTTTAAAAATTGTATAATAAAATGATTTTTAAAAATAAAAACAGAAACCGAAAACATGCTTTAATATCTCTTTAAAGGTTGTCGTGGTTCCGAATATATCCAAGGCTAGCTTATTGAAACCTATTCAAGAACTTTGCTGGTGAACACGGCCAATGCCACAGGCACCTATTGGCTCATGAATATTCCTACAAGCATAGGAACATCATTGTTCTTGTTTGGAACACTATTTCTCTCTTATTGTTCCTAATTGTACTCTGTCACTTGCATCTTTTTTTTATTTATGGGAGAAGCTGGCTTAGGATCCCTAGATTGCAATAAATATATATAGGGCTTGGTAAAAAATGAAAATGCATTGCAAACTTTGTTGTGGGCAGAACAAAAACATTTGCCCTTATCCCAACAAAATGTCCACTTATATACGACATGATGTTTACAAATTGTAACACAATGTTCATAAATGTATAATATATTTGATGAACATTAACTTAAAGTGTGGTATTTTAATGAAAATATGTTATTTATTATAATTTTTATGTTGTATACATATTGTATGTCTACATATACTCACTGCATTGAGAATTTATGGATATTGTGTTATGCATTTATGGCTATCGTGTTGTTTATCCTTTGCTTTCTTATACATTTAACTTCAGGTTAAACAATGTCTGCCAGATGTGTTATACATTTATAAATATTGTATTGATAATTCATAAATATTGTGTTATGTATGCATAGACATTTTGTTAAAACAAGAACAAATGCGTCTTTTCTCTCACAATAAAATTTACAAGAAAGGCCTTTGGACCTAGAATGCATTTTCATATTCTAGTGAGCTCCAAATGTAATTTTTTATATTAGTGAGATTTGTCTTTCTTCTTTTATTGTTCACGAGTGCTTTAACCAATCTAAAATATAAGTAGATTTTAGAAGGAAAAAAATCTGTATATCAATAAAATTTTCAATCCCATCAAAAAAATAGTTTTTTAATTACCCTTAGTCCTAGCTATTAAAGCACTCTATGATGAATGAAAAATATTTGTAAATATTTAGATTGATAAATACAAGGGATGGAATGAATTTTTTTAAACATGTACTTAGATTGCTTATATTTTGAATTAAAGTAAGCTAAGCGAAAATACTTAATGAGAATTTAAATCTTAATTTATTACATCATAAGAGATTAATTCTTTTCACTAAATTCAATTCTTATTTAATTCCTTGTTGCTTGCATTTATTCACATTTAAATAAAATATCCTTTCAACTGAAGGCTTGTCGGTGATTTAAAACAGAAAATAAATAGCATCCAGTGGAATCACATGGGGAATAAAAAATTGAGTCATATATTGATTTTCACAAAGAGTAAATTGTGAAACTTTAATTATAAAGATAAAATTAAAAATTGAATAAAATTACCAAGATTATAAATATAATTTTTAATTATATTTTTAATATTTAACGTGTTTTTTTGTGGTTGGATTAATTTTTGCGAAACTAAAATTTTTACAAATGAAAGCTTACAAATTAAAATTTGGATTTCTACCGCAAAAAAAATTGGGTAAAAACTTTAAGTTGCTTTTATTAAGTCAACCTAGATGACAGTCTTAAATATGATTAAATTAAAAAATAATATAAAAATAGAAAAGATTATCCCAACGAGTTCTAGTCTGGGCCCATCCAAATTAGTTTGGATTCTCCGAATGCTAATATGTAATAACACCCATAGACCATAGTCTTCACTTTTTTTATTAGAACTTTGGAGATTTACAAATCCTTTAAATTTATAATTAATTTGAAATCGATTTTATAATTTTTTTTACAAATTTTTTTAAAATTTTTAAAATTGAGCTTTAGAATTCAAAAAGTTGCCATGATTTACAATTGATCTGCAACTAATTTTTTGAGTTTTCCAATTCAAGTCTTCTAATTTTTATTCTTAAACTTTTGGGATTTATAATTACTCGATCCCTCTTTTTAATATTATAAAGTATTTTTTTAAAAATATGATGTTAAAAAATATAAAATATTTTGAGCCTTTTAAGATATAATTAATAAAAAAATTTAAAAAATATTTTTAATTAAGAATGTAATTAATAAAGTTCTCCACAAGGGTAAACATAAAAAAGTTATATAATTTTAAAGACAATTAATGAACTCGTATGATTCAATTAAAAATATCTCATATTTCTTCTATCTTAAATTATAAAACACTTTTGAGGAGAAATTTAACATTCTAAAATATAAATGCTTTAAAAAAATAAAGTTTTATTAATCATGTTTTTTCAATACTATCATTCCTACTATATTCTCTCTCTTTAGGCATTTTTAAAAATTTATATTTTTTTAAAAAAATAAAATTGTAAAATATATTTAATAAATTTTATTAATAGATATAATTTTGTTTAAAAATATTTTATATTTTGAGATGGTGGGAGTAATATTTGATGGAGGGTGTAAGTTATATTGTTCAAGATATGTAAGGGCACTTTTTGTTTCTTTGTTTTTAATTCTAGGTCCTTAAATTTGTGGTTGTTCAATTCAATGTAATTGTTTTTGAACCATGGGATCTTTAAATTTTTTTGCTTTATTCTACTTTCCTCGGCTTTGGTTGGGTAAAAAACTTTGTAAAAGGTTTGAAGTAACTTCATTGGATAGACTGATGAACATGGTAGGCCCATCTCAGTTTAAAAATAAAAAATAAATACTAAATTAACCAATATAATAAATGAATAACTGTTAACGCTCTCGGCGTACTTTAGCAGCAACTATCTTCTATCTAGACGGCATTTTCTCTGCAACTTCGTATTTTGCTTTTCATATTTCACACTGTTTCAGTTCAGCCTTTTCCTAATTTACAAACTTCCCATCCCTTCGATCGTATCCCGGAGGAAATTCGAGGATTTAAACTTATTTCTGGAAAGTTGCATTCTTTCCGGTAAGATTTGATGTCTTCTGATTTTTCCTGGAATTCGGTTTGAGTTTGTGAATCAGGGCCTTTACTTCGGTTCTTAAATTAGGGATTTGTTTGTTACATCGATGTTTATCTGATTTTTTTTTTTGGTTTGAAAAGCAAATAGCAATCGGAGCTGACGCTAAAGATTCCCTATTTCTTCGTAGAGACAGAAAACTGAGTGATGTATTGAAGGAATTGAATCTGTATTGAAGCAAGATAATTGGATCTTTTTTCCGGAGGTGGATATATTCCCTATTTCTTCTTAGAGACAGAAAACTGAGTGATGTATTGAAGGAATTGAATCTGTATTGAAGCAAGATAATTGAATCTTTTTTCCGGAGGTGGATATGGATATAATGGGCTTCTTTGTTAGAAGTTAGGAACCAGTTTTTCCCCATTAGTTTTGTAGCTTTACTTCTACTTGCTTGTAATTGTGGTTTGTTTAATGGATGATACCAAGGATGATGTAAGATATCCCTCTAATATGTATGGTGATAAAAACCATCAAGGTTATGGCTATCTGAATCATAAAAAACATTCGGTTAGGAGTTCTCCTTATTCCCAGCCAGTAACGGGTGAGTATGTGGAAGATAATGATGATGATGAGGATGGAGAAGATGTGGAACTTTTAGGAGACGAGGAAGATGAGGATGTTGATCAGAGTAATAATATTTATTCACAAAATGATGTTGCTGACAATGATTATGAGGAAGATGCTCAGGTTGAAGATGATGATGAAAATCATGGTAACAATAACAACAATGATGATGGCAATGATGGTGATGGTGATGATGACAACGAAAATCATGGTGGTAAGAAGAAGAGTTACAAGAAGAGAGTTGAAGATGATTCAGAATGGCATCCAAAAAAGAGAAAGCTGAAAAGCTTGATTTCAGCTTATGAAGTTGCCCCTCGTGTGCCAGCAGCACCATCAGCTGCAGCTCACTCAGCTCAGAAACCATATTTTGGTTCCAGGAATTCACTTACCGACTGGACTGAACACGAGACGTTTGTTCTTCTTGATGCTTGGGGGAACCGGTTTCTTCAACAGGGAAGGAAGAGTCTTCGGTCTGAGCAATGGCAAGAAGTTGCAGAAGAAGTATCAGAAGTTTCAAAAATTGAAAGGACAGATACCCAGTGTCGGAATCGTCTAGACACATTAAAGAAAATGTACAAAAAGGAGAAAGCTAAATTAGCAGAAATGGTTGGTGGATCTAGCAAATGGGTCTATTTCAAAAGGATGGATAAGCTGTTGTCTTCTCCTCCACAGAATGCTGGTCTCTCTTGCGGTTTAGACTCAGGAGAGTATGTTTTTATGAACCCTAGAGTTTATTTGAACCGTGCAAACGGGTTAGATGAAATGAGGGATAGTCCAGGGAATTCAGAATCTACTGGTGAAGATGAAGGTTTAGATGGACTTCATGCAAAGAAAAGAAGGCATGGAAGGGACAGTGATGAAACTTCCTTCAGATTGCTTGCTGAATCGATTCAGAAATTCGGTGAGACATATGAGAAGATTGAAAATAGTAAAAGGCAGCAGATGGTGGAACTGGAAAAGATGAGAATGGATTTCCAAAGAGAATTGGAAACACAGAAGAGGCAGATATTAGAGAGATTGCAATCTGAGATTGCAAAACTGCAGCAGAGAGATAATGAGGAGAATGATGATTCTGTGGAGAAGGATGAGTAATGTTTATGCCTTTAGCTCCCAGTGTCACGTAAGATGTAGACAGCTATCTATTGTATAATATTTGAGGCATTTTCCCCCGTTTTAGAGTTTTCTTGTTAAGCTGTACACTCGTCAGGAATGTTACAATATAGTAGAATGAAAACTGTATAGTTATTATCATGTTATCACGGCTTGTGCTCAACAGTCCATACCATTCTAGTCTATTGCCTTTATGTGAAAGATTTGTATGGAGTTTATTTGTAGTTGATGGAAGCCTGTTTTGGAGCCTGTGTCTTCATGTTCCTTTTCAATCCAATCATTAAAACAGTTAAAATAGAATTTTGCTTCATTAATTATAGTGATAATTATTTTCATTTTGAAATGTTTCAAAATAGTCAAATTTGTCTCCTGAAAAAGCCTTTCCCAATTTGCAGGGCCAGATGATACCAGCTTCTTAATCCCATAATTTCTCATGCTCTTATATTATTGTCAATGTATAGATAAGATCACTCTACTCGTTCACATACTTAAAATTAACAAACAAATTTCTCCTTTCTATTTTAAAGCTTCAAGATGGGGGAAGTATAGTGATGACATCTGGTTCATGATTTGACTTTGAACTAATTCGACCAGATTTCAGGCTGCAGATTGCTCGATGGGGGCAACAATGAAGTGAAGCAACAAAAAAAAAAAAAAAAATTAAGGAAAAGCGGTTGGCTTTGAGGCTTAAGCCTACCAGAATCTTCATGATTTGGAGTGTAATGGCATACCAAAATATTTATATTTGACTAGTTCTTCCTCAATTTTTTGGATGTGAAGGCAAGGGATGATGTTTTTTTATCAATATTCCATTACTAGTAATTAGTGCTTGGGGCATTAAAATGTCATGACCAGGCAAGATAAGCAGTATCATAACCTATGCTGTTCAATATCCCATTATCACAGGAGAGCACTGGATTTTATTTCTTCACTCATCGCGAGAGAATTCTGTTTCTTCTCTTATCGCTCATAGCCAACATAGAAACCACAATTGCACACAACTAAACCATGACTACATTTTGAATTCAGAACACAATTATGTCATGTATCTTTTAAACCATCCGGTTTATGATGCTATATTAAAGTTAGTCTTCTCAAAGCTTTTTGACAAATGAATGGTCCATATGATGTAAATTCAATTGCCGTCTGAGGTAATACATTAATTCTTGCATTTCCATGTCAGGAAAAGGGAAGCAATTAATTCGTCTCCCCCAGATTAAAAAGTCTCTCTTCACATGCACGCTGATTGGAATCCAGATCTTCCAGATTTTGAATCTCTTAAGTTGGTGAGGCCCATGCAAAGTACTAGCACTTGGTGTCATGTAAAAATTTTGTTTTGTGTATATATACAAAAGGATAGAGACAGATTACTAGTATTTCGTGTACAACTTCACCAACTCCAAAGGCTCAAACTTTAGAGGATCGAAATTCATATTAAGTAACGGAAAGCAAGTTCTCAGTTAATCACCACTTCCGCCTTCATTGCCAAAATCTCTATGAGGATCTTTTAGAACCCTTGATTGCTAAGTTATAGAATTCAAAGAAAAAATGACAGAAAGAATGTACCTATGAAACTCACTTCATAATTCTTTCTTTTCTATTGCTCCATCTTTTTTTCTTTTTTCTTTCTGAATTTACAAGAACTTCACCATTAAAAACAAGGATCCAGACTCAAGTCCCTCTTAGTCAGATGACAACTCCATGCCTCCAAGTGGACTACTAAATTCGCAGAGGATGGAGGGTTAACTGTTTCAAATATAAACAGTTACCATATAAAGACTCCTGCCGCATGATATCAAATTCCCCAATCAATTCTCTAGCTGAGTCTCTAATGCCAGTACAACTTTAAAATTATCGTGCTCTTCAATCAATATGGCAAGTTTTCCCTTATGTTGATGCAATGAATATGCTCTTGGCTCCACCAAAAGTACTTCGTCAAAACTGCATAATCATTATCTTAGTTATCGATAATGAAAGAATTGTATGAGAAGGAAACAAAGAGAAATTAACCACATTATTTGCATTGACAATTATGGGGCTCGTAATTTAGTTTCACAAGACTTCCTCATCATAGGGAGAAAAGGAAAAAACAGACAAACAAACATAACCTATCTCCCATTAATAGATACGACACAAATATTCACAAGTTAAAGCCAACATCAGATACACAAACAGTAATTTAAAATCCAGAGGTTAAGCATGCTATGGCAACCCTACTTCAGGTATCTTCTAAATTTTGGCAAGGAATTAATAATTTTAACTATGGAAAAAGGAGGGAAAAAAAAAAAATCAAGAGCACAGTTGGAAAGGAGCCCATATTAAGACACTCTCATGGATAAAACAGATTGTTATAATAAGATACTATCATGTATAGAACAGACCGTAGACCATAGAATGAGATACCATTGCTATGAAGTTTCTTTTTTGGCCCAATTGACTAATCCTTCAGTGTTGAGCATCTAAAGCAACCAGATAAAAACACCGACAGCATCTCCATATCTATGTGCCACTGATTTATTCCATATCCGCCTTATCTGAACTGGAGGCTAAACATTCTTGCTAAATTATAAATTGGGATAATGAAATTTTTGGTCCCTCAAGTTTACTTCAATTATCGATTTGGTCCCTAGAGTTTAATCTTTATCAATTAAATCCTTAAAATTTCATAATCATACACAATTAGTCCCTATGACATTATTCCCTTTCAAATCATAAGGACTAATTGTGCATGGTTATGAGACTTTAGGAATTTGATTGATAAAGATTAAATTTCAAAGACTAAATCGATAACTGAGACAAACTTGATGGACCAAAAGTTTCATTATCCAATTATAAATTTCACACTTCTAAATTGATACTAATGGCTTCCTTGCATACTTTCAAAGGAAAAATAAATTAAAAAGTTCCCTGCCAGAAATTAAATAGAGGGAACCTGACCTGCAGACAACCTGTAGCAGTTGCAAACAACAATAACTTGTCTTAACCTCCTCACTGTGCATAATTCATATTAGATTCAGCTCCTGTTAGAAATCAGAAAATTTCAATTAGCAGAAAACGTAGAGCCTGCACAAGGTAACAGGTATATTGAACTATAATGTATAATAGTGTCCTGAGTGGACAAAAATTAACATTTTAAGCAACAGTGTTCATTTGATGAATGATATATCTGAAGAGTGGGCTATTAATAGTGCACAATGATGTCCTATGATCCATGTAGCCAACATCACATAGTATGACCCATGTAGTCAATGTCACATAGTGGAATAGGGCTAGTTGTCATTGTTGAAGCAACATTGTTCATTTATTTTATTAAGATGCATTAGAAGGATGCATTAATCATCATGCATTCATGCTTACGAAATCTCAACCTTTTATCCTTCAAGTTTTACTCAAATAACAGAGTCAGATTTAATAGTTCTAATTTACTAAGCTTCAAACAGACTTAACATATAGATTGATATTATGGAGACCTCCCAGGTAAATACCATATCAGAATGAACCTTCCAGTCCACATGCATCATCTATAATGCAAGTTAATTCAGTGATTTTTTCCCTTTTGGAAATCCAAAACTGGCCTAACATCCATTCGAAGAAGTTGAAATGAAGTCTTGAGATGAGCAAGTTTTACCATACCAAATTGTTTTCATGATTCTGCCAGATTACAATCTCCATCTACCTTACCTACTGCCTCAAGTATTGAAGAGTAGGTAATGAGATCATGCTGATATCCCTTTGAACTCATTTCTTTCATCAGCTTTGCAGCCTGTTCAAACATACCTGCTCGGCTAAGACAACTAAGAATGGTGTTGTAAGAAACTGCATCCGGCTTAATATTAGAATGATTCATTTTTGTAAACATTTCCATAGCACGCTTTGGGCCACCAGTTCTAGCTAAGCCATTTAGAATAATATTATGAGAATTTATGTCTGGTGCGCAACCACTTTCTTCCATGGTTCTAAGCAAGGAATAAGCTTCATCAACCATGTTAGCCCTCACCATCCCTGACATGAGCGCATTATAAGTATACACATCAGGGCTACATCCAAGCTTTTTCATCTCATTGAAAAGATCTATGGCTTCATTTAGACGTCCACATTTTCCAAAATGCTTTATCATGACAGCATACACACGAGCACTTGAGCGTCCACAGTTCTCTTTCAATTCCTGGAATAGTTCATTGGCAGCTTCATAACGTTTTGCTCTTCCAAGGCTGTTGATCAGGCTGCAGTAAGCAGCAGGACAAGGTGGAAAGCCTTTTTCATCCATTTCCTCAAGAAGCAGCAGAGCCTTCTCAACTCGATTTGTTTTGCAGAAACCATCAATGAGAATTGAATAAGTAAATGAGCTGGGGATAACTCCATCTTTTTTCATCCTTTCCAACCATGCAGAAGCCTCAGAAGGTGGAGCTTTGGCATCAAATAAAGATTTGATTATTGTGTTATATGTTACAACATTTGGTGTACAATGAAGCAATTCCATTTCATTAAAAAGCTTGATAGCATCTTCCAAACGACCTGATCTACCCAAAATATTAATCAAATTATTCATCAGAATGACGTCAGGTTTACAACCATCTTTCAGCATATTTTTGTATATCCTGCATGCATCTTCAACCCTCCCAGCTTTCCCCAGTCCCCTTATCAACTCAGTATAAGTAAAGACAGTTGGGGGACATCGCTGCACTCTCATTTCCTGGACTATACCCAGAGCTTCTTCAACCTTGCCCAACTTGAAATATATTCCCATTAAAGTTGTATAAATTTTTGCTATAGGCCGTAATCCATTCTCCTTCATCTCTTCAAATAATCTAATGGCAGAGTCATCTCGATTTAGCTTTGCAAAGGCTGATATGAGTGCACTATATGTAACCGTGTCAGGCAAACAATTACCTTCACTGCACATTTCATGATACAGCTCATGGACTTTTTCATAATGGCCCTCTTGCATCAGCATCAAGATGACAGAGTTGTATGTAACTGCATTAGGTCTGCACTTGCGACCTTTAACCTGATAAAAGACAGACAATGCTTTGTTGACCATCTTTGCCTTGCCCAAAATTTTCACAATCTCAGATAATTCAGCAGGACTAATTACACGAACACTCTTAACCATGTCTTGTATTGTCTTCCACATTTCACCAACCAGCCCAGCTTCATCCAAACAATGGATCAAAGACATGTATGTCGTTGCATCGTGTTGAAAATTCCTTCTCTTCCCAGCCCACTTAAAGAATTGGATCTTAACATTGACCTCAACATCTATCTTTAGAACCTCACGAACCAGGCGTGCATCCACCTTTAGCTTTAGCACTTCCAATGCCTTCTCTGCATCAGGACCCCATTTAAATATTTTCAAGATCCGAATGAATCTCTCATCCAATGTTCGTGCAGAAGGGTCCTTCCACAATACCCTTCCTCTTTTCATGGGAATGTTTTGGCTTTCTTCTTTGGCGCCAGGAAAGTGAAACATTTCGACAATCTCATTTTCTGCTAGTTTAAACTATAGACAATTAGATAGAAAGTTCAATATATCCAAATTACAACAGATTCAAGTATTCCTTCTGTATAAATTTGCTAGTACGCAAAGAAATGAGCAACCCAATCAACGTTGAGTTTTTCCTCTTTCCAAATGCAAAAGAAATAAAGAATAGTTAAGTTGATGACTGTTTTCCTCTTGGCCCTAAAATTGTTTTTCATAGCCACTGATGCCCTCCCTTTCAGTCCAAGAGGGGGAAAAAAACCAGCCAATTATCCGATTCCTCCTTGGAAGGTTTTGGCTTTCTTCTTTCGAACTAGTAAAAAACTTTTGGATGATCTCATTTCTGCCAGTTTGAACCATACGCATTTCAATAGAACGTGCAGTAAATCCAAATTACAAATATTCCAGTATTCACAAAATTATTAGCGAACATGGAATCAGCAATACAGACCAAATAGACCTTTTCTTTTTTCAAATGCAAACAATAAAGGATAATCAGGTAAAAAACTTTTCTGTTTGGATCAGGAATCATCGTTTCGCAAACACATAGCTTCCATTAAATCGCCATCTACACGCTTGGTTTTGATGAAAATTCGAAAAATAAAGTAATAAATACATACCCGTTTGCTTCATTCTCTCAGAGAAAGGAGGCCAAGTTGAGATTCTCCTCCTAATAGCAATGGAGCCAATAAGCATTCTTGTTTCCCTGTAGCCTGAATTTGCTCCAGCGGGACTCCTTGCAATATACACCAGAGCTTACGGCCGCGACATTGCTCGGAGCTACAAAGTAGCAGTCTCTTACTATGATAATCAAAGAAACAAACTTGTTAATCTTCTTCGCAAGTTCATGCTCAATCCTCTACTATTTCTCGACCTCGCCCAATTTCCGCTGCTGCTCTTTTTTTTTTTGGACTCCTTTGTGGCAGTGACGGAGGGTGTTATACCGGAGAAAATATGTTTTAAATTATTAAATTTAAATTTTAACCAAATAATTATTTTATTTTAATATTTACAATCAACAAAAATCTAAGACAAAATATAATTACTAACTAGCTTCAAAAATTAAGTTATTAAATTTTTGGTAGGAACATTGAAAATTATTATTTTTTTAAGAACTTATTATAAACCAATCAATATCAATTGAAACATAAAAAATACAGAAAGTCATGATATTGATAAGTCTTAATAACCTTTACATGGAACCCATCTTAGTTTTATTAGAGTAACTGCTTAAAATTTATTTTTAAAAATTTATCAGTACGTATAAAATGTAATAAAATCCTAAAACCTAATTAACTAAATAATACCTTTAATTTCTTATGATGATTATATTCTTTTTTTTTTAATTTTTGTAAACGTAAAACAATTTACTAAATTTTCTTCCCAATGTGCTGGAATGGTAGGAAAACTAAGGCTTGTAATTACTTTTTGTTCCTAGGAAACTAGGGGTTACGGGGCAATGGGGCTTAATAGTAAATTAACTTAAAAATAAATATTAATGATATTTTAAATTAATTAATGATTATTTTTCTTTTGACAGTGATTACTTCTCTGCAAATTTATAATTACTTATTTTATTAAAGTCATTGTCAAGAAAAAAAAAAGTAATTATTGTTTAAGCCAAAATAATCATTACTATTTAGAACACTTTATCAATAAATCAAAAATTTGTACAAGAAAAATTATAATTAATTATTTCAATCTAGTAATTGTAAAAAAAAAATTCATTGTTGAAATTAAAATAATCACTAATATTTATTTTTTATTTTAATTTAAAAGTATTTTTATTATTTCACCAAAAATATTAATGTCTGCAAAATTCCTAAAGACTTAAAAAAATGACATTTTATAAAATTTTATTATCATTTACATACTTTAAAAAATTAAATTACATTTTTTTTATACTTTCCTTTGAAAGGACATTTTATATTAATAAATGAAACATTTTTCTCATAAATTATTTAAAAAAAAAAAGCAAAAATCCTCCTCCACTTACCAATCACTAACTAAGAAGAAAATACAAGTTATTAAAAAAAATTATGCAACACTTTAACTACTAGTCGATTCACATGAAAAGCGAGATTCGATACATGTGGAAAACGAGACGCAATGAAGTAAATTTTTCATCTTTGACAAAACATTTTTTATGCATCGCACATTGCGATTGCATTAGTGCCCATACTATTTCTTTATCACACGCATCAAACAATACGATTCACAAACCATGATATGGAACATCATAATTGTCCAATAAAATATATAATATACAGGAAATTTGTTCAAATTAAAAATAATATAGAACATCATAATTGTGAAAAGAAATTAACAAAAAAATTGATGCATTTGATTGAAAGCAAACATTGTATGAAACTAAGCAAATAAAATTGTAAACAGATTATAATTCAACTTCTAGAGACCGTACAGAAACAACCCAGCCACCTAACGTGCGGGTTGGGAAGGTCGACCACACATAAATCATTCTCTCCTCAGAGCCCTTTCAGCTTAAAACCAAAAAAAAAAAAAATCCGGATTTCAAAGGACGTAATAAATCTTCCGCGAAACCATCCATAGAGAGGGCTCAACATAAAACAACCCACCAGCTACTCACTGTTAATCCCACCCAAAGCCTATTTCCTAGAACCCAAATCATATTCTTATACAGAATGCAAAGAGACTTCTGCTCTTCTCATTAACTTTAAAATAAACCATCAACAAAAATCATGCAGAGCTTGTGTTCTCTGACTTGTCAGTCTCCATCGGTTCAGCCGCTGTTGGCGGTGCCTGAGCAGCACTTTCCTCGGCATTTTCAGTGACGCCAGCATTAGTATTGGTGTTGGCATCCCCCTCAGTTTGTTGAGGCGGCTGCTCACCATCCTGAGGAGGTGGGGTCACAGCTGGTTCAGGAGCAGCAGGCTTGACTGGCCTTGGTTTTGTCATGATTGGCTTACAGAACCTTCATGGAAAACACATCAAGAAATTAATCCCAAAAAATGGAAAAAGGGGGGGGGGCGGGGCTTGGGAAGTCCGAGAATTCATAAAGCGCGTAAGTGGCACTTGGGTCGTTTGCTACATGATGATTAAGTCATCCAAATGGCAAAAGACAATAAACGAAAACATATGGTAAAGCAAGATAAGACTCACCTCACCTGACTCCAAATTATCAAAGGATCACCTAAATGAAACAGAGATGGGATACATGGCATACCTATCAACTGCCTCAGCTTTCTTTCTTATGTCAGCTAACAGGAGTACAGGAGGAGCATATTTTGGAAGCGAATCCTGCTGCTGCTTCTTCTCCCTAAGCCAGGCTTCAGCTTCCACACATTGACTCAATACCTACAGAGAAATAGAAAAACAATTTGAGATTGATTCAATGGCAATGACGGAAGGGATGACAAGATAAAAGTAACGAGCATTACCTTCTGCTTCTCCGAGATGTCAATATGATCAAATTTGGGATCATTTGACATGGCAGCTTCTCTGTAACTATTTATGCAATAGATGAACTGATCGATTATCGTACCCCTCTCCATATATTCCTTGTATCGCTCTTCAATTGGATCACCTTGCTGCAGTAGTAAAAAAAATAAAAAATCTCCACATTACTTTTTCAAAAACAGAACCTCTTGCAGTGTATGTTCGTACATAATAACAGAGAAAGGTATAAATGAAAATATGCGCCTGATACCTTGGCAGGGCAAGGGATGTTTTATAGCATATGAAACTTACCTTCTTGAGTTCCTCAAGCTTGGCAGTGTATACACCTTTAGTTTCATCTTCGCCATCTTCATATAACCAGTCTTCTACCTCCTGAAGTTTGGCACTAAACTCCTCCCTCTCTGAAGCAGTGACAAAATCTTGGTACTTGTCAGCAAGCTGAAGCGATAACAGCAATATCAGTTCTACAGATCCTCTACTACTATCAGACCTCAGACAAAGTAAGGGGAAGGGGGAAGGCAAGAATTTTTACCTTGTTTCTCATGTCATAAACATATGCCTCAACTGCATTTTTCCTGTCTTTTGTTTCCTCCATCACTCGATCTTGTAAAGCCATTTCAAACTCCTTCTCTACAGCTTTCTGGAGATCTTCAGGGGAGAGGGCTCCATAAACTAGCTCTGAAACGGGTATGTTTGTCTTCTTGACCTTCTTCTTCGGAGCCTCAGCCTAAAAAAAATTACAAACGAGTCAGTCAAATGTATAAAGCATCAGACAACTATGCTTGAAAGAACCAGGCTTGCGTAGAAGCAAAAAATCAAGCAATAGCGGAGTGCAGGAGTGCATGATAGTACAGGGGCAGCATGGTTACAAGGGTAAGACTTGACATTCAACTATGCAGGCACACATTTTAAATTCATCACAATAACAAAACAATGGGGAAAATCTGTTGCCAAACTATAATAGTTATTTTTAAACCACTATGAAGCACAAACATTAGATAACTTGAACTGACAGGCCAAAAATTCTGCTTATTTAAACTACTTATAGATGCAAAACCATCAAGACATCATCACCATCCCACCCCCCTCCACAACTCACCTAAAATGTTCTTGATCAGCATAACCATTTAATAGCTCCAATATAAAACAGAATATCACATGATATCAAGGAAAAATAATAATAAATAAGGTGATCAATCTTATGTCAAAGATTCAGCTGAAGGACAGAAGGGATAAATATCTATAAACTTGCAGTTTTAGCACCTATAGATATACTTAAATACACTAGTCAACAGAACAAACCTTGGTATCAGTATCCATCTGCACAGGCTTGTCTGCTGTATCAGGGAGGCCATTTTCAGTCCCAGGGTAATCAGCAGTTGCCTTTGCATCTTGCATATTGACATCAGTATCATTAGAGCTTGGTGGTGGTGCAGCAGCATCAATAGGAGCCTCATCAGTGTCCATCTTAGCATTTTCTCCAGCTGGTTCTTTTGACACTGGAACCTCAACAATTTCCTCCTCCAGAAGCTAAACAGAAGTAGCAGAATGTTAACCCAAAAGGTGAAAAATTTTCCACAAGACCTCAGAATACAGATTCCAGCAGAGAAGGAGAATATAAATGCACCCAAGCTCACAGCCTTAAAAATACTTACCGTAGCTGACTCAACAAATACAATTCCATGCAAATCAAGACGAGCTTTTACTTTAACTTTTGCCCTTTCACTATCTGTAGTTTGGAAAGGACCGATCTGCATAAACAATACAGTCAGGTGACTACAAAGAGGGAAAATTAGAAAAAATAAAACTGAATTGCTCTAACATAAAAAAACTAAAAAAAAAAATGAGTTGGGAATGTCCTTACAGTGTATGTGCTAATCTTGGCAGGTCCTTGCAGCTCACTCATATCATTATAGTGCACATCAACAGAAAATGTTCCTGACCTGTAGAATGTCAGGGCCTTGACACTAGGAATGGCATTTCCTTTGGGAAAAACAACCGTACTTTGATGATTATCTGGTCCACCTTCTTGAGCATCAGGACCAGAGCCTTTCCATGAAAGTGAAATTGAAAAGGGAAAGCTTTCATTGACCTTCAGATGCAGAAATAAGTATCAGCAATCCAACATGCAGATTGCACAGGAAATTAAAAATAATAATTCAATGAAAGAAGTGACTGAATAATTCATAAACCCTACAGCTCTAAAAGGTGTTTGTTTAGGAAGATAGCATAGCAAAAAAGTAAACAACAAATGTTAACATATAGGGAATGATAGAATGGAAGAAACTTTACCTGAAACTCTCGTACTTTAAAAGTCGGACTGAGAATTGCACATTGCAAGGCACAACCCTTGGCAACACACTCACTTGCATTCATTGTGCGCCTAGGCTCCTTTTTGAAAAATTCTGTCAATATTTTGTTTATAGCTGGTACGCGAGAGCCTGAGCCAACCATCTCA